ATCCAAGAGACAACTAGAGCGTTGTTTGCTACCCAATCCTCATAGTCTGGTGATGTTACATCATGTTCCACTATAGATCCATCGACAAAGCCGAACTTCTTTCTTGCTTTGAGAGCTAACTTCAGGTTTGTTGCCCATTGATCGTAGTTAGGGCAGCGCAACAGAGGTTTGGAGATAAGAGTACCAGGATTATCTCCTGATGATAGATCAAACGGCAAAATTGTTCGACGCGTTTCGGTGGGTGGTGGTGCAACCGTGTTTACAAGAGCTGATTCAGTGCTCACTGTCGAAAGAAGAATCCATTAAAGAAGTGCTAACGAAAGCTAGGTCAAGGAAGGAGAAGAATGAAATTTCAGATCACAAGATCAAAAATAAAAACCTTGTAGAAGTTAGGTTAATGCTCTGATACCATGTCAAAAACCGATAGTAGTGTAAAGGTTTTCTTATTTCATACGTTTGGAGGCGATGCCCTCTTATACAACTTTATCATTTACCCTAGCTATAATACATCTTTAAAGTAATAGACCTACGGTCCATAAGGGTCTAGTAGAAAAACTTGAGTGCTAAAATTGCAAGACTGAGAATTTTGACAGAACATGAAATTTTGTCTTTTTTTTTTTATTTAGATTTCAAGCAGTTTTAGACTAATGAATTAATTGAAAGAAAAACTTGAGTACTAAAATTGCAAAACTATGAATTTTGACAGAACATGATATTTTGTCTTTTGATCGTGTTATCGTTGTCATGTTTGACTTGCTTTCATAAGGTATATTTAGCTCTTAAGTTTTATAATTAATTTAAAAATATTTTTTTTTCATCAAGATTCAAAACAGTTGTAGACTAATGAAGTAATAAAAAAATATTTGAGTGCTAATATTATAAGACTATGAAATTTGATAGATCATGGAATTTTGTCTTTTTAGGTTAGGTTTGAAACAATTTTGGATTAATGAATTTAAAGACTTTTTGAAGTGTAGTTTGTATAAAAGATATATATTGATCTGTGTACTTTGGTGAAACTTGAAAATGAGTGTGCTTGGTCAGTGAGGAGTATAAGGTACATTTAGCTCTTAAGTTTTTAATTAATTTTGATAGTAAAATTTTAACATTCTTTAAATTCAATTAGGTAAAGTTAGAAACGATTTCAGGTTAATGAATTTAAAAGGTTTTTTTTTTTAAACATTTTTGTTGAATTTAAAGAGTTTGGAAGAGTAGTTTGTACAAAATATAAATATTGATCTGTTTGATTTAATGAAACTTAAAAATGAGTGTGCTCGGTTTTTGTTCAATATAACATATCCTACTAAGAGTTTGTGGTACGATACGTCGTTAATCAATATAACATCCTACATTTCCAACTCAAAATATATTGTCAATGAAGAGATTGACTCGTATTATCGATACGTAAATTCTCCAACTTCCAACGAACTTTCACTAAGAGTTTGTGTACATCCCTAATTGAGGAGTAAATCAGTATGTTATGGTATCATCTTTCATTCAGAAAAACTAGTAGGCAATCCGGGCTTAGCGCGGACTTTTATATATCATTTGATAATATAATTTTAAAAAATTTTAGTCATATAAAATATTTATATATTTAGTCATTTTATATGGTTAATAAAATAAAATCCATCAAAATGTATTATATATAATTATATAATAGTAAAATTATTTAAATATATTTTTGGTTCATAAAATTTATCAGACAAATTTATATTTATAATTAAAATTAAATAGTTGATATCTAATCTTTATTACAATATTAACTTTAGATCAAAAAAATATATTAAGTATTATAAATAATTTTTTCCTTAAATTTCAGTCAGATATTCATTAATTTGATATTATTTTTTTCTATAAACAGCTAATATTTTATAAAATTTATAACCAACAATATTGACCTTATTTCATAAACGTTTCATGTATTTCCAAGATATTCTCATACTCTTAATCTCTCTCTTAAAATAAAATAGAACTCGTCAAAAATATATTATATATATAATAGTAAAAATACTGAAATATATTTTTGGCTCATAAATTTTATTATATTTTCAAGTTTTGGGAATTTATATATATAAACAAAATTAAATAGTCCATATTCATAAGTATATGCTTAGGAAATCATCTATCATAGGATGTGTTGAGATAACGGGGAATGCTCAGAAAGGGTTGATCAGCGGTGACTCTGGAGGGAATGACATATACTCGATAGATTCTCTATGTTGTGCCACTGATGGTTAATTTCAGTCAAGAGATCGTATTAGGAAAAGATGGTTTCGGTGTGGTGTATAAAAGAGTGCAAATTTGATGGTACCGTGATTTCTGTCAAGAGGAAGGATTTGGGAGTTGTTGATGAAAAGGAGATCAGCGAGTTCAACAACGAGCACCGAAGCTTCCCAAAGACGTGAAGACCATCTACAGACCCGGAAACCCATGCTCAAACACAAGTCAAGAGCCAATGGTTTAGTTACAGCCATTACTGTCATGTGCATAGTCGTAGGAGTTCTGCTCTTGCTCAAACACAAGTCAATAAACAGTGTTTTTTGGTGTCATTTACAAAAGAGTGCAATGTGATGGCACCATGATTAATCACCCTTGTATTTCTCTAATTTCAAATTGAACGGCTGAATCTGATCAATGTCATCAATTTGCCTCTTCACAAATCTTTTTAGAAAAGCTGAGCAGCAATTTTTTCATAAACGATACATGCAGCACCAAAAAGAAAAAAAAAATGAGCAAAACATATACAAAATCTAAAAAAAATATAAGCAAATATAAGAAAAAATAATAAAAATATACATAATTGCATATATGCTACTTTTTGATGATTTATATATGTAACCATCATCAATCGTAAGAAAACAAATGGTAATATAACGTGAAAAAGGAATATATTTAAAAGTATTAATTTTTACTTTATAACCAAACCTAAAATTTAATATGCAAATTGTAATGGCCATTTCTTTATAATTTTGAGTTCACGTACACCTTTGCAGTTTGCATTAATGTTGCGTTCTTCATGTTAGAGGAAAAAAATAGGAAAAAATGAAACTCCATTTCTTTATTTTAACATGACCAAAAAGTTGATACATATTTTTGTTATAAAATATTTATATAAAAACTATAGAAAATGACACTGAAAATCCAAATGATAGTGAAATGTATATGTTTGAATATATTAAACACTCTCTCTTAGCTAACCGATGTAAAACTTCTAAGACTTTTGTAATATATAATTTTAATTTATTTAATCGATTATATCTAAAATGCTTCCAACAACAACATGTTAATCTTCACTCTCTTAATAAAAATAATTTATTTTCTGCTTTAAGCATTAGTAATTATGTTAGTGAGATAATAAATATTGTTATTTATATTATACAGATTTATAATAAATTAACTCTCTTTATTTATCTTTCATTTCATGATTTGACCTATATGTACCCAAAAGTATACTGTTTTTACTGATCATAAAATAAAATTAATAAATGATTCAAATTATTATAATATATTTTGATGTATGTATTTAAAAGTAAATCTTTTACTGAATTATATAAATAAATGTGATAAAAGTAAATAATTAAGTTAAAGTTTCAGTCTATCTTTTATAAAGAAATGACTTTTTAAATTCTATTTAAAACATATTGTTGTTATAAAAAAATTATATAAGAACTCTAGAAATTTATATTGAACATCCAAATGAAATCAGTGAAATGTATATGTTTGAATATATTGAACACTCTCTCTTAGCTAACAGATGTAAAACTTCTAAGACTTTCGTAATATATAATTTCAATTTATTTAAGCGATTATAGACTCTAAAATGCTTCCAACAACAACATGTTAATCTTTACTCTCTTAATAAAAATAATCTATTTTCTGCTTTAAGCATCAGTAATTATGTTAGTGAGATAATAAATATTGTTATTTAGAGTATACAGATTTATAATAAATTAACTCTCTTTATTTATCTCTCATTTCACGATTTGATCTATATGTACCTAAAAATATACTGTTTTTACTAATCATAAAAATAAAATTTAGTAAATGATTCAAATTATTATTAATATATTGTATGTATGTATTTAAAAGTAAATATTTTACTGAATTATATAAATAAATGTGATAAAACTAAATAATTAAGTTAATGTTTCAATCTATCTTTTATAAAGAAATGACTTTTTAAAATTCTATTTAAAACTATTAATGAATATTAGTTAATATAAAAAATAAATGTAACATGACAGAAGACATAGTAAATGAAATAATTTTCTTTTGAAATTAATAAAAAAGTATAGATGATGTGTCACCATTTTGAAATAAGAGATAAGAGAGAAAGAGATAGCAGCATAAGAGGAGAGATTATTGCCAAAGTCAAAATGGCAAGGTCCAATATGTCCATTCGTTTACTACGGCTTAAACAGAATAATGCTGAAGTTAAAATGGCAAGGTCCAATATGTGAAGATGGCCAAATAAACTAGAGCTAGTATTCGAAAAACATAACAAAAAACGTTTGGAAGTTTTATGTAATTTAACCAATCGGAATGTTTCCGTATTTCATCAAAAATTTACTAGTTTGATAGTTAATTCAATATGAAATTATTTCCGTTTCCGTAAAATAATTATAGAATTTTATATTGTTAAATATATTTATGCAAAAATCATATTATACACACATGAAATCTAGATAACATAAATCTCTTAATTAAATCTATGTTTAGAAATACAATTTTGTAGTAATAATTTCTATTTATTTGGTTTGGTTCGGTTGCACTTTGATTAGGTTTCAATTTGGCATTTCAGAGATTTTATAATAATAAAACAAATTGGTTTGTAAACATAATTTCGGTTTGGTTTCGGTTAAACATTTTGGTTTTATTCGGTTTGACTTCTTTTGTTTAACGACGTTTCGATCTACATCTCTCTTGAACCCTAAGCAAAAGAGGTGAGAGAGAGAGTTCATTTTCGCCGGGTTAAAACCACCGGAGAGGGAGGATTAATGGCGGCGATGTTAATCGGAAGAGCTCTTAAATCAGCTAAATACTCCCATTTGGTCGTTCGTGCTCGACCCTTCTGTACAACATCTGCCGCTCTTCAACCCGATTCCGATGGTCAGTCATCGGAATCTTCTTCGTCGTCTTCGTTCACTTTCGACAAGGAGAACGAGAAACCCATCTTAGTGAAAGCTCCGAACGCACGACGGAACAACGATTCGGACTCTGTGTCGATGCCGACTTCTTCCATGACGGGTTCGATCGTTGGGAAGAGATTCTACAAGAAAGTGACGACGAGAGAAGCAGACGATGGCAATGGATGGACTGTGATGCTCGATTACAGAACCCTTAAAACCCCTTCGAAGAGACCTCTCAAGCTTCGTTCTTTGGCACTCGCTAAGGCCATTGGAGCTGAATGGGAGTATCAGGTTTGTTCATTTTCAAATTCGATCTCTTTTGCCTCATAAACTCACTTCTCTAAGCAACTCAGTAATGGGTTTGATGGGATTTAGCTAGAATCCTTGTAATTTGCATATGTTCATTCCTTTATTCAACGTAAAGCTGAGAGGTTACTGCTGTTTATATCAATGAACATCGATTCTATTGTTCTTTAGAGTTCCTAATGTTTTATCCGTTTCTGGATTTTGCGATCTGAGTTCTGATGTGACCATTAAGTTGAATCTTCGATTAGTGGAGTTTTCCTCTATTTCATTTTCAAATTCGATACTGTTCTGAAGCTGATCAATAATGGGTTTGATGGAGTTGAGCTTAAAATCCTTGTAATTAAATCTGTTTACTGTTTATTCAACCTAAAGCTGGGAAATTGCTGTTGTTTGTATCGATGAACATCTAACCTACTGTTCTTTAGAGTCCCTAATGTAAATTTGTTTCCAGGCTTTTGCAATCTGAATATTAAAATGTTATCAATAAGTTAACATTCATCTTTAAGTGGATAATGAGCTGATCAATGAAAGGTTTGATGGAACTTAGCTGATTTGTGAACGTAAAGCTGAGAACTTTCTGTTGTTTGTATCGATGATCATCTAATTTACTGATTTTAAGAGTCCCTAAGCTTCTGGGTTTTGCGGTTTGAAAATTGGATTAGTGGAAGTGTGAACTTGGTTCATGAGATAAAGCACTAGACTTGGGCCTTCTCTGCTCGTTATCTTTTGTCATTCTTCTTCTGTTTGTGCGGTGACTGACTTGAGCTCAACGCGATGATCCTGTGTAGCTAGAAGAAGGAATCAGACCATTCACAATGCCGCTCATGAAACTAGCATGTACTGCACTCGAGAGAGTTCCTCTTACACGTTCGAAGATCATCGAACGTCTATTGAGAAAGATACATCAAGATCTCGTCTTTTTCCGAGCCCCTCAAGATAATGATCTAACTAGTGACGTCCATGGTATACGTCTTTTACTATATGATGCTCGTTAAACTCCTTAGATTATACACTCACTTGGTTTTGCCATTTTTGTAGAGGTTCAAGTGGAGAGTATTGATCCTCTTCTTGAGTGGGTCGAATCAGAGTTTGGGATCAAACCGAAAGTGTATTCGAGCATCTTCGGAGGGAAACAAGATGAGAAGCTGGTGAAAGCAGTAGAAGATCTTCTCAAGAAGACCAACGATGGTGAACTCGCGAGCATCGACGCGCTCGAAGCATCAGCTCACTCGGTAGTAATCGCTCTTGGCATCTTCTGTGGGAAACTGGAGATCGATGATGCAATCAAGTTGATTAGGCTCGAAGAAGATTTACAGGTGGACAAATGGGGACTTGTAGAAGGCGGGCACGATATTGATATTGCTGATCTCAAAGTTCAGATCTCTGCAGCTACTGTGTTTCTTGCTCTTTCCCGTGAAAACTGATGGTGGGTCTCTTTTGGCTCATACACATTTCTTCAGTTATTCCAAAACACACAGCTTCTCTCTGAGCTTATATCTGTTTGTAGAATAGATAGACTGTAAGGGTAAACATTGTGTTGTTCTATCCACCAATAAACCAAAACTGGAAACTCTGCAATCTATCTATATTGATCGTTAACTCTTTTACATTGCGTGTCATATATATGACAAAATCCTGTATTTTTGAATGAAATCTCTAAATGTAGATGTATTTAGTATATTTGATTATTTGTTGGCCCAATTATAACCAGTTGCTTAATCTGGCGCAAAAACCAAATCGCTTAGGGTTTGATCAGCTGATTGATCACGTTAATTACAAGGTGATATAAATCAAACTTCATATAATAAAATTAACTAAAATTTATGAAGAGCAGATTATGTCTTTGTTCATTGATAGTCTTACCTGCTCTTCCTAATATTAGTTAATCGTATTATATGAAGGAAGAGATTTCTGCCTCCAAAACCACAACATGAAGATGATGACAAAGAAGGTAAGAAGGGTGAAGAGAAGCATCATGCTAACCATGGAAAAGCTCTCACTAGGAGTCATTACACTTGTGAGAAGAAATCTATTTGTGTCATGGGGAAATCTCCTTTTATCAATTTCAGTTTATTTTTTTTGCTTTAATTTCATTTATCTACTAGGTGGTGGGTCCAAATCAGTAAAATATATTTTTTGTTAATACTATAAAATATTTTATATGTCCAATATATGATTGATATTGTATATTAATTGATTAATATTTGTATATGATTAGTTATGTTTTAAGTAATAACATTGTATGAATATTAATCACTCGGTTGATGAATCATATATATAATTAGCAAGTTATATCTCCATCTAAGGTGTCTATATCAGCAAAAAAAATATTTTAAAATAGGTTTTTAAATATTTTGAGTTTTGTTTTTAAAGTTCGGGTGTTTATTTTTGGGCTTTTAATATGATTAATTTGAAATTAAAAACAAATACTTATTTTACAAATCATAAAAATTACAAATTCTTAATTTGTGAAAATGAGTTCGGAAGGCAACCAAATATAAAAGATTACAGAAAATAATTAGCAAAATTTATAAAGAAAATTCTTAGAAATATTATATATAAAGCTAAAAGCTGTCAAAAAAATATTATGTAAAGCTAAAGTAAATTCATCATATAAAACAAATACTTATTTTACAAATTATAAAAACTACAAATTCTCTTTGAAATAAAAAAAATCAAATTGTTATTTCGAATATAAACAAACAAAATTTGAAGAAAAAAAGTTAGAAAGTGAACAATTATGAAAATAACAGAAGAATTTGCTGAGAATAGTTATCAAACTTATTTAAAAAGTCTTAGAAATATCAATGCTTAAAACTAAAGTAAAATTATTCATATCTATTTTACTGTGTAAAATGAATGAAAGTTTTTGATAAATAAAGAAAAGTAAAGTGTTTAATTATATAGCATAGAGATGAATTTGATTTATAAGACGAAAGAGGAAAAAAATTGCAAATACTTATCAACCATCATTTCTTAATGATGACAACATAATATTGATATTCAATCACTTTACTCATCAGCCAGATAATATATGGGTTTTAATATAAAATGTATAAATAAACTAAAACAAGACTATTGGTTATAAGTTTTAACATAGTCATACTGTTTACACTCACATGATATGAAAATAGACAAAAATATTTTTATACACATTCATAAGTATAGTCAGGTAGTTCATCATTGAAAAAGAAAAACTCATCAAATCAATTAAAATCAACAATCTATCAAGTAAGCATAATTTTTTGATACAAAACCCTTCAAACATGTAATAATTAAAATTCTCCTTATTTAAAGTTATAACTGATCACATAACTGAATGAGATAGAAGCTTGCATAAAATAAAAGAAAAACTAGTAGATTGCAATCAGAATAGCGAGACTAAGAGCTATAAGAAAGAGGAAAAATAAATAAATAACTAATTATGCTTGAAAATGAGTTAGATTTTTTAAAAATCGATAAAAAATTATGGGAACATTTAGTTTAAAGTGGAAAAGGATTGATGATGATTTTATTTTGTTGATATATGAAAATAAGATGTAGAAAAAGATAAGAAATCGATTGAATACAAACAAACAAGAAGAACACATATAATACTTATTGCAGTGTGTAAATATATGAAATATTTTTGTAATAATTAATACATCATAATTTATATTAGAAAAATATTTTTACAGTATATATATATTATATATATATATATTAAGACAACAAAAACACTTAAAAAATAAAAGACAAATATAACACATAATATTATTAATTTAATAAATATATATAATAGTAATATAAATAAATAAATATATATATTTTTTAATTAAATTAATAAATAAGTCTGCGCAACGCGCGGATAAAAATCTAGTAAAGTCTAATTAGAATGATATCTTCATTTGTTTTGGAGGTTATATATAATCTTGTTTTGATTAGGTTTCAATTTGGCTTTTTTCAGTTTTGATTAGGTTTCATATTATCAGTTTTGATTAGGTTGGCCCAATTATAACCTTTTTGGGGACCCAATTATAACCAATTGCTTAATCTGACGCAAAAATCAAATTATTTTGGGTTTGATCAGCTGATTGATCATGTTAATTACAAAATTAGAATTAGATATATAAAATTTTATAAATTAATATTCAATAAATTAATTAAAAAATTTATTCTGAGTTTGACTGATGCAAAATATAATACAAACCAATAAAATAATAAGATAATAACTTTTTGAAAAACTTATATAAATGTACAATCCCATTAATATTATAAATTAATAATTATCATTAAAATAATCTTATATAAATATATAATTATAATAATTTATTAAAATATGAGTTTATTTTTGCTTTTCATATTAAAATTGAAATATTTTTACAGTCTATCTCTAATTTTATAATGAAATTTTGGAAAATATTATTATTAATCAATTGTTACTAAATAATTTATTTTATTCAAAATAATAAATTAATAACTTTATAAATAAATAAAATATTAAAATCCCAGCATTATTAATTTATAGAGTTTCTACTGTATCAAACTTTATATAATAAAATATCAAAATCGTATTATTATTAATTTATAAATTTCTACTTTATCAAACTTTATATAATAAAATTAACAAAATTACTAAAAGCAGATTATGTCTTTATTTATGATATGATGATCAAAATAAATAAATAAATAAAATAATAAAAGACTATATTCTAAAAACCTGAAAATTATGTTCATCATCTTCATCTTCATTATAAGCATAAAAAAAATTTTGATTTTTTCGAGACAAAGAAAGGAAAATATATAGCTTTATCAATTCTATAATTTTTTCAAAAAAGGTTGTGAGAATAAAAAGAATTAAAAAAAGCAAAAGCAAAAAAGAAAAGAAAATGTATATGTATTCAAATGATTATTCCGAAAACATATACATTTGGGCGCCCAACATATTTGAGATACTAGAAACTCCTCTCTTAACTATTACTCTCTCTGTTCTAAAATATTTGGCATGTTCCAAAATATAAACTGTTTTGGAAGAAAACATATATATTAAGACAGTTTTTACTTTACATCTTTTCTAAAAATCAATCATTATTTTGCAGAAAACAGTTAATTAAAAATGGGAATACTAAAGATCTCACGTTGGGCTTTTAGACAAATTTGACAAAATAAATCTGGATCCAGCTTTTACATAATCAATTTAAACTAAAATTTCAAAATTTGACAATGGAGGTAAAGTAAAAAAATTGTGAAATTGTTTATGCCAACTTTAAGTTTCGATAAAGTTTTAACAATGACATTTAGTGTAAGCTGATATCTCCTCCTCTATTTTATCTTTCAGATACATTTTGCGAAAAATACATAGCTCTGGATCGAGTTTTATAGCATACATGACTTTGGAACATATATCTGTTAGCCAAGGTAAATGATAAATGTGTTAGTCTGCTTGCAGGTACGTACTCCTGAATTCACATCCATTCATGGATCGTGTAAGTCAATTGTTTGTCCTCTATATAGTCCACATTTTTAACTTAATAAGACTGTTTAATAATTCTCATTTGATGAATAAGGATGAATTTGAGAGAACGTCATGACTCTAGTCTGTATCTCCTCGCCATTTGGACACCAGGTGAAGATAATACATTACACTACTGCTTTCCAAAGTAAAGTGTGATGATGCTAAGAAAGTAAAGCGAGGACTAAAATTTAAAAGTGTGATGTTAAGAAAGTAAAGCTATGACTAAAATTTAAAAGAGTGAGGTTTTGTTTGATTCAAATGAAATTTCATTGGGAAAAGAAAATTTTAACAATGACAATAAAGATTTTTCAATGGATCCAACTAATCCAATCAGTTATGGAATCTAGAAGGTTTTTTTTTCAAAGTAAAGCAAGGACTAAAATTTAAAAGTGTGATGTTAAGAAAGTAAAGCTATGACTAAAATTTAAAAGAGTGAGGTTTTGTTTGATTCAAACGAAATTTCATTGGGAAAAAAAAATTTTAACAATGACAATGAAGATTTTTCAATGGATCCAACTAATCCAATCAGTTATAAAATCTAGAAGGTTTTTTTTCAATCAGTTTTAATCAGGGTTCTTGATTTATATATAAAATTGCCATATTAGAGTTTTTGAAGATGCAATGACTCATAAAAATTCGGATTTCATCATTTAGGGAAGTTTGAATTTTTAGAATTTGCACAAAAATGACTCAATACATAAATATGTGATGCTGAGTGAGAACATATTTGCCTATTACTCAAGAAATGAATCATACTTGGAAAGTATGCTAAAGACCCAGCGGATCATACTTATGGGTGTGGGTGTTTTTTTTTTTTTTTTTTTTATCTTTAACTAGCTTCTTTATGGTTTTATGGTAATTCTTATGGTCCTAAATTTTCTTAAATGAATCATATAATCAAAATCTCTTGTTGTGGAACTGTCTTCCACT